GAAGGAAGGAAGGAAGGAAGGAAGGAAGGAAGGAAGGAAGGAAGGAAAGAAGGAAGGAAGGGTAAGTGAAAGATTTAGGAATTACTCCTTATCCATAAACTAAGATTATATTTCTTTCCCAGCACCCTGCCCTTGTATCTCATTGTCATAGAGTTTATTCACCAGGTTTGTCTCTACTCCTAGGAAGTTGGAGGAGACGTATTTATTATTTATTTACTGTGCTAAAAAGTAGCAGAGTGGGCTTAGATGGTCCAGCCCTGCACAGAGAGGGCAGTCAGTAAATGTGCAATGACTCGTGCCTGGGAAAAAAGCAGCCAGGCATGCAGCGAATCTGGTGTGCTCTGAGACAGTGTATCTCTCACAGGCCTTCTCTAGATAATACTTGATATTTTCGCCACATTGGCCGCAAAGTGTTGCGCATTTCTTCATTATCCATATCCCACATCCTGTTGGCCAAATAAAGTGTTTCAGGTAGAATACGTCCTGAGCAATTTTTTTTTTTTTTTAGAATTACCTTTAAAGAGAAGGGAATACTGCATAATACTGTGATACACCCTAAACAACTGAGTCTGCGAAACTTTGACAGCAGCAGGGGGCTTGGAGGAAGGGGGGGCAGGAAGGCTGGGGCAGCAGAGTTTGGCAGTAGCTCTTTGACAAGTACAGACCGTATCAGTATTTTACCAACTAGTATGGCTTTATCAACAGTTGTACCTACATACCCAACAAATATGTCTTTTTGCTTGTTTTATTTTAGGTTGCTCCACTATGCCTAGGAAGAGCTGGGGCTTGCGTTGTAACTGTCAAATTATAATATAGTGCTTTGTTTTCTAAATGAAGATTTCGTCTTCCTCATGAATTTAGTAAAATTATTCTCCTACCAATGGATACGTTTTTAGCCACTTTGCAATGCCGCATTCCTGGGCACGGAGTGCCCAATCTCAAAGCGAAGCTGGTAAAACAAGGGAGGAATGAGAGGATGACCCAGGATTAAATCCTACATTTCTCAGTAAGTCATTTCTCAGCAAATCAAAACTACAGCTGGTGGACTGTGAGCATATGTTCCTGACATAACATGTGAGGACAAATGCACTGCTCCTCAACCCACCCCAGTGTTAGCTGGGAACGTCATCTATTAATAATCAATCACATTTTACTCACATTATCCAGATTTCTTTTACTACAGTGCACATATGCCAGATAACACTTTGAACGTTTGCTTTGTAACTTTATCGTACATTAGTTGCCGTAATTTTTATCCATTTGTTCGTTTAACCACAACCACTGCTTTAATGACATACTAAACACTATGCTGATATTCAGTTCTTTTCAGAAATAGCTGCATTATATATGCTTTGCTTGTGGATTTTCTTTCTCAGTTAGCTTAGTCTCATGAATAAAGAAAAATGACAGTTAAAACAATAATGACCAAATGAAAACAAAATGATCTTTGGGTTCTTTTAAAATATTCATCCAATTATATTTAGATTCACTAAGAGCTACGCGTTATGATATTCTCAAATTGGAACTGAAAGATGATGTTTTGCATTAAATTTAAGATACACAAAATTATGGGGGCACCTGGGTGGCCCAGATGGTTGAGTGTCTGCCTTCGGCTCAGGTCATGATCCCAAGGTCCTGGGATCGAGCCCCGCATCGGGCTCCTGGCTCGGCGGGGAGTCTGCTTCTCCCTCTCCCTCTGCCTCTCCCCCTGTTCACGCTCTCTCTCTCTCTCTCTGTATCTCTGTGTCTCAAACTCTGTGTCTCAAATGAACGAATAAAATCTTTAAAAAAAATAAAAGATATGCAAATTTATGTAGAGGAAATAAGTGTCATATGCCCTAAAATGTTCTTTCACCTAAGTAGCACTTAATTATATGGATTTGTTTTCTTTTATATTATAGAAGATGTTTTGATTTTGATATTGACAAAACTGTTTGGATAGTCTTAGGTTCTTAAGTCTGGATTTGCCTACCTTGCTTTGTTTCTCACATTTTGCTGCAGTTAGTAACCCTTTGTGCTTCTTTGTAATCAGATAGTTTGAGGGGAATGGGATTATTGAATGTTTGAAAAATAAGTTTAAAGTGTTTATTACCCAAAGTTTTGTACATTTGTAAACTCCAATTACACATGTGAATGTTAATACTCTCAGTGAATTGTTTATTGTCAGCAAAAATGCACTGGGCAGTAACATTTTATGATAAATCCTTTAAGATATAAAAGTCATTAATTTATGTCTTAATATAAAAATGAGTATAAACTAAATTCCCATCTTTTAAAATACAAAACTGTGGTGAATGTGCTTTTAATTTTATATCAAGGTAGACTTCATTTTAGTTGCTTTCTTTAAAAAATTAAACCAACTCTTTTTTTGGTGGGGGGGGCTGGTGCTGGGGGAGGGAGCCAATTTTGCATGCTCTTGAAATGTTTCTACCCTGGAAACCAAGAAACTGAATACTTCCATTCCCAAAGCAAATCTTGTGGTCATCTTATTGGTGTGGCCACAAAGAAAATATTAGTGATAGTGAAAAATACATTAATGTTTTCTATATTCATTATATTATGGATATAAATTCAAGTATTTTCATGACAAGGAGGGATCAGCCTTAGAGTATATTTATGTATTTAGGGGAAGAGAGAGGAAAAGTTACAGGAAACAGAAAAAAAACCTCAAAAGCAGAAATGTGTTAGCATATCATCACCTTCTTGGGGAGGCTCGGGCCTGTGATTTGAAAGGAATTTATACTTGCACAAGTACAAGGATTTATACTTGTGATTATTCCTTTGAACACTCACCAGCCACTCTCTGAGGACCTTCCTTTCCTTTATGGGATTCATGAACAGTGCCTTTGATTTTTCTACCTTGATAGAGGACCTTTTTAATGCAGTTTTGTACAGTTGATGCTTGAACAACACAGGGGTTAGGGGTCCAACTCCCTGCACAGCAAAAAATCTGCATATAATTTTTGACTCGAAACTTAACCAGTGATAGCCTACTATTGGCCAGAAGCCTTACCAATAATGTAAACAGTCGATTAACACATATTTTGTATATTGTATGTATTCCTACAATAAAGTAAGCTACAGAAAAGAAAATGTTATTTAAAAAATCATAAGGAAGAGAAAATATATGTACAGTACTGCACTGTATTTATCGAAAAAAATCCTCATCTAAGTGGACCCATACTTTTCAAACCTGTATTGTTCAAAGGTCAACTGTGGTCAAGAGGACCTGCTTTCCTGAATACTAATAAAGAGAACCAGTTCTTTCTAGTGACAGAACGCTTGCCAAAACATTCATTCTTCTCGTCTGGGGTCTCATAACTGGAGGAAAATATGACTCTTCCTGGTACCCATCATCCAACATGGCTGCTTGACTTCTACTTGCTTGTTCATTGATGATGATATCTAGATGCTCTTTATTTTAACCTCAATTAGTGATACCTTATAAAAATAATATTTGTTAGTAATTATTGAATGCTTATTATGAATTAAGAACCAAGTCTTTTGCATGCATTAATGCACTTAATCCTCAAAGCAACCTTATGAGTTAGGTTCCATTATTATTCTCATTTTTACAGATGAGGAGACTGGGGCACAGAGAAGTTAACCCCAAGATCATATATAGCAAGTAAGTGGTAGGACAGGAATTTGAATGCAGGCACTCTGCACTTGAGAGTCCATACTCTTATTTCTTTCTAGGTAGAAAAAGAGAGGTTTCATTTTAATAAATGAGGAATCATTTATTTTAATAAAAAGAAAATGAAGAAGGTTTATGCTTTTTGGAAGTAAAATTTATACCAGTCATACCCCTCTCAGAAAATTTTGGTTCTTTAGTCTCATTGGGGAAATTTTGTTTAAATCTCTTATAGAATTTTACATACAAATTCGCTTTAGAAAAGTAAATGCAAGAAAACACGATATATACTTCACATTTTATAAATATTAGATAAATTGTATGGTATTTTGGATGACTAAACTATAAACAGATTTATCAAAAAGGCTTTATTGCCAAAAAAAATTAGCTGACATAGATGAAATGGACAAATTCTTAGAAACACACAAATTACCAAAACTGACTCAAGAAGGAATAAAAAATCTGAACAGGCCTATAACAAGTAAAGAGATTGAATCAATAATCAAGAACTCCCAGCAAAGAAAGTACGGCGGCAGGTGGGTTCACTGGTGAATTCTGCCAACCATTTAAAGAGAAATTAACACCAATTCTTCTTAAACTCTTCCAAAAAAAAAAAAAAAAAAAGAAACACATTCTAATTTATTCAATAAGGCCAGCATTATCTTGATACCAAAGCCAGACACAGACAGATTGTACACTATGACAAAGTAATAGTTATTGCAAGAATATGGGGATGTTTCAACATATGAAAATCAGTCAATATAACATACCACATTAATAGCATGAAGGGAGCAACATTGTCCTAGTTGGACAATGACATGAAAACAAAGGACGATGACATGAAAATAAAGCTATTTGTTATAAAAAAAAAAATTGAATGAAGGGGGAATGAACAACATGATCATCTCAATTGATAAGAAAAAGCATTTGCTAAAATCCAACACCCTTTCATGGTAAAAAAAAAAAAATTCCACAAACTAGGGAGAATTGGAATTTCCTCAAACTGTAAAAAGGCATTCATGAAAAACCCATGTTAACAACATACTAAATGGTAAAAGATTGAAAACTATCTCCTTAAGATCAAGAAAATCCCCACTCTCACCACTGCTAGTCAACATTGCCTCAGAAGTTCTAGCAAGAACAATTAGGCTAGAAAAAGATATAAAAGGAATCCTGATTATAAAGGAAGAAGTAAGGCTACTCTGTTTGCAGCTGACATGATTCTATATATTAAAAATTCTAAAGAATACACACATACATACACACACACAAAACAAAATGAGTGCAAATAAATCCAGAAATGTTGCAGGATACAAGATCAACACAGAAATGTCAAGTGATTTCTATACATTGGCAAAAAAAAAAAAAAAAAATCCAAGAAGGAAATTTTAAAAACAATTCTATTTATAGTAGCATCACAAAGAATAAAATACTTAGTAATAAACTTAACCAAGGAAGTGCATGGCTTGCACACTGAAAAATACAAAACATTGATAAAATAAAAATCTAAATAAATGGAAAGACATCCCACATTCATGGATCAGAAGACTTATTGTTAAGATGGCAGTAGTCTCCAAATTAGTCTATAGATTCAATGCAATCCCTATCAAAATCCCAATGGTTCTGTTTTGCAGAAATGGAAAAACTCATCCTAAAATTCATATGGGATTAGAAGTCACCCAAAAGAGCCAAAACAATCTTTAAAAAGAACAAAGTTAAAGGACTCACATTTCCTGATTTCAAAATATATTACAAAGCTACAGTAATCAAAATAGTGTAGTACTGGTATAAGGATAAGTACATAGACCAGTAGCATGAAATACAAAGTCCAGAAATGAACTATGGTCAACTGATTTTTAACAAGGGTGCCAAGACCATTCAATAGAGAAAGAATAGTCTCTTCACCAAATGGTGCTGAAACAACAATTTCCACAATATTCATGTGGAAAAGAATGAAATGGGACATTTAATTCGCAAATGTATAAATATTAACTCAAAATAAAAGATCTGAATATAAGAACTAAAACCGTAAACCTCTAAGAAGGAAACATAGGTATAAATCTTCATGACCTTGGATTTGGCAATGGTTTCATTTATATGACATCAAAACACAAGGCAACAAAAGATAGATAAACTGGACTTCCTCAAAATTAAAAGCTTCCATGCATCACAGGACACTATCAAGAAAGTGAAAAGTCAGCC